TTGCTCTGCTGGTGAATGGGGCTCACCGCGCCCTGTGTGTGTGTCTATATATATATAAAAAAATTATACATGAAACTACATTAAATGAATGTTAAGGTTGCAGTCCCTAACCTTGGGAAATGTCTGAATTAACAGTGCTTTTGCAACATGAATATGACTCCTTTAAAATAGTGTTTAATTACATAATCACTATTTTTTCCACAGAACCCATTGCCCATTCAGTGCACAGGATGAAAATATACTTTTTTGTTTTGCCAGCTTAACATACAAATCTCAAAGCTTCAGATTTGTCAATAAATGTATATCCTAAAAATTCCAGAGGTGTTTGTTTCGTGTAGAAAAAGAAGGATCAAAACTTACTTTTGGTCCTGGAGGCCCTTGTGATCCTAAAGCACCATCTACTCCTGGGGATCCTTTTTCTCCTTGATCACCCTGACCAAAATACAATATTTTCATGGATTAATTATTTCAAAGATTTTACATTTTATAGTGAAAAAAAAATCCTGAGTGCTTAAAGTTAGGGAGAAAGATTCAAAAGTATTTAGATACCTAAGTCTCTTTTCTGCCTTTTGACTATATCCTGTGAGATTCCTAAAGCCTAAAAAGTAGCCTGATTTTCACACTCTCACCCCAAGGTATTGAGCACATTTACTTCACACTGACTTCAATTATAATTTTGAACTTTCATTTTAGTTCCTGTTTCTCATTCTGCCACATATTCATGCTGAGAACTCAAGTTCTACTGAGATCAAACATTTAAACTTGTGAAGCTATTACTTAACAAAGACCATAACAAATTAAAACACCATCCACTGACCTGTATTTAAACAAGAACATTTAACTTTGTTATGTTTCTCAAAGATGGATATTAATAATTCACACCTTTTGGCCAACATCTCCTTTTCCAGCTGGTCCCTCTAGGCCTCTTAAACCAGGTGCTCCTTTTTCGCCCTAATGAAAATTATATCAGTTTATTAATCCTCACATTGATGTCTAGACTATAGAATAAAAATCCTAACTATTAATGTTCTGAGAACTAGCCTGGGTCAATATGCTTTTCCTGGTTTGGCAAGATCAAGCTTCCATCATACTCCAAAAAGTCTATTTTCTCAGCTATATCCAGCATAGCTGAAACAGTCAGTCCTGACAGTCTCAGGAAAAAAAATATCCCAACAGCTAATATTTTTATGAATATAATACAATTTAACATTAAGTTGCAAAATCTCACCCTGCTTTCTATACTCCTTGAAAGATCCCATACCTCAGCCTTTAGTCTGTATTAGTTGTGTCCTTTATAGTAGCACTAAAAAGAAGTATGAAGCAAAAAGTGGATCTGTACTCTTGCTTTTGAAGATGTTCATTGACCTAGACTGACAGACTGCACAAGATCTTGCAAAGCAAACTAGATGCTGAAGGCCATACTAATCCCCTGGTGGCAGAAAATCTGAATGAAAGAGGGGTTTGGGGACACAAGATGTTACTCATCTACTCCCCCACTCTGATGGAGTATGTGTAATGGGTGGGAGTGAGAGAGCAGAACTCCAGAGCTGGCCAACACAAAATGGACAGGTCTAGGGTTGCCACCTTTCAGGTACAACTTAAAAAAAGGGAAATCCCAGATGATCCAGAACCTATAAGACTTGACAGCTAGAAGTGTGTACTGCTCGTCCACACCTGGACAGAGCTCCTGGGACAGCTACCTTAAAAATGGATGATCCTGGGAAAACCTGGAGAGGTGGCCACCTTTGTAAGGGTAACTTGACCAGTTGCAGACTCCATCCCCAGTGCCACTTTGCTCTAGGGTGGCTCTATGGCTAATTATCCAGATTTAAAACAATTTTACCTCAACAGACCCTGTATGTAAGGGCAAGTAATGGTGTCTACTTTCCCCAGGAGATATATCTCTCGATTGTGCAACTACTCTCCTGAGAGCAGAGGGATCCAATATACAATGAAGTCTGAATTTGATTGTCCTATCTAGGCTAAAGCTTTCGCATCCAGCAAACAAAAATACTAGCTTACCTTTTTCCCATTATTTCCAGTTTGTCCTTTCATTCCTGGTTGTCCTGGTTGTCCTGATGTTCCGGGATCTCCCTTCAATGGCAGTAAACATTTATTTCCCAAAAGCTTAGTGTAACTAATGCACTTTGTACACTGAGGAAGTTTCATTTTGTTACAATATTGGTTATTGGGCAATATTTCTGTCCAAAAAGAGACTCTTCCTAATTAATGCTCTGCAGAATAGCATTTGATGCTAATCCCAGTCAAGAAACCAAACTAATTCATTCAATTTGGAATACATATTTTAAATTTCTTTAAAAAAAATCACACCTCTGTCAAATAAAGTATCTCTAGATTTCTTTTCACATTCCCAACTGCCTCCCAGAGACCACCTCCTCTCCCACACAGACTGCATTCCTTCTCCCAAAACTATGGCTCTATTTAGGTAAACCCTGGGACAGGTTGTGCTGGCCTGGAGATTTTTCTTGCTAGCTTTAAAGAGACTGGGATGTAAAGACTGGCTCAGCACTTTAGGAGGAGGACCAGACATGGGGAAAGGTTGGGAGCAATCATGCAGTTAGCTGAGTGAGAGTAATACAAAAGTTCCACAGGGTGTTGCTTCTTTGTTTACATATATGACTAATAAGGTGGAGAGAATAAAGGCATAGTGGGGTTGGGTGTGTATCAGGAGTGATAGAAAGGCTACATGTGCATCCCCTTCTATCAGATCTCTGTTTGCTCCTCCCCACTAATCACTCTCATATCTTATATATAGTAGCCCAATGTCTGTGACTCTGTAAGGCTTGGTGTTGCCTCTGGGAGGTGCTGTTGCCTCTGTCATGTCCTTTGCATCCTGCCGTGGTACTCGGCTGACTTCTATGCTGCTTAGCTGGGCCACTGCGTGGGACCAAGTGGCACAAACAGCCGTTTGGGCTCCGCGCTCCCCATGCAGCACAGGGGTGCTGCATGAAGAGTGTGGAGCCCAAACAGCCATTTGCGCCGCTTGCTCCTGCGTGGCGATCCCTCTGAGCGGTGCAGAAGTCAGCCGAGCGCCACGACTGGAGGCGAAGGGGGATGGGGCGGTGACGTACATGGGCAAGGGGCGGGGCCTGGACGAGCATGCATCCCAGACGGAGACAGAGGACAGTGGAGGAGAACGGAGAGAGAGTGAAAGGCAGGAGGGGAAGAAAAGAAAGAGAGAGATGGAGAGAGAGGCAGGAGGCAGAGGAGAGCTGAGAGAGAGAGAAGGGGAGGCAGGAGAAGGAAGAGGAGGAGAGAGAGATGGAGCAAGAGACCGGAGGCTCAGGAGAGAAGACCGACGTGGAGGAGAGACCTGAAAATCCCGTCTTATGACGGGCTAATTGGCTAGTTTTTAAATATTGTCTGTTGAAAACAAATTTATATAATCATAGAATACTAGAATTAAAAGGCACCTTGAGAGGCCATAAGGTCCAGTCCCCTGCACTTATGGCAGGACCAAACACCATCTATATCCTCCCTGAATGATGCTTATCTAACCGGTTGTCAAATATCTCTAGTCATTCAGTCTTTGTGACCGTTGTTCTCCCCTTTGTGAGCATCATGCCATCACTTAAACATGACTTATTTATAAATAATGTGAATAATGATAGAAATTGAATTTTAAACAGTTGAAACTCACTTTGTCACTGAAATCCATGGATATAGCAACTCCTTATTACAATTTATCAGACACATTTTGTAGAAAATTTGGACAAGATTATAAAAAAAATAGGCTCACTTTCGGTCCAGGTACTCCAATTCCTGGTGGTCCTGGATCACCCTTATGTCCCGATTCACCCTCTTTTCCCTAGTAATGAACAATTATTTGTGTTTAGTATAAGTACAGAGCTTAACTTTATTTATTTGCATAGCAGCTGGATTTCTCAGGTAAAGCAGACTGAAAATTGACGACAAAACAGTTTTCAGTCAGAAAATACAATTGTGTCAGCTGAATTGTTTTGCAGGAACATATAGGTTTTTTTCCAATGAAGTAATCAGCAGAAAAAAAGTCAATGAATCATTTTGACTTTCTAGTTTTATTTTGATGGTGAAAATTTTTCTTTTCTTTTTATTCTTTTATTAATTTTCTTTTTACTTTAATATTAATATATCAATATTTACATTATTGAAATGAAATATTTTGACACAGTGAAACAAAAATGTCTTGATAAAACCAGATTAGGTTTTTTTGGTTCTTCTGGAAATTGATATTTTTGCTTTTCATTCTGATTTGGAACAAAATGAAATTTTAAAATAACTGAATTAGTCCAAGGATTAGAAATAGCACTTTCGCTCCAGCACTATCCGTTAGCTTTTCATGGTCTTAACAGAGACCATAACTTTTGATCATCTGTTCTCCCATGCCAAACCATACAGTATACCTGTGGTTCCTAATGTCCATCCTAAATGCAAAAGGTCCAGAAAGAATTTAACAGGCTGCTTTCAATAAAATAAGCATTTTTGTGGAGGAAGTTAATCACAATGCCTATTTTTGCTTTTCATTTCATCTGCTCCTGTCATTCCACATTCTCTCTCAGGCATTATGCCTTGTTCTCTTTGCCCCTGAACATTCCTGACTTGAAATACCAGTCCTGCGTGAAGTCTTTGCCCTCACACCCTCTCCCCCCCAGATAGAACCACTAGCTATTCTGAACAGCTGGTGGCTCCCTCTAGGTGCCCGTGGCCCTGGCAATGGGAGGAGATTTCACACGCTCCCTCCTCCCCCACTCTCCTTAGGTCAATCAGAACCTGGGGTGGGAGGAAGCACGCAAAGTCTGCCCCTGCCCTGAAAAGGAGCACAGCACTTAGAGTCACCTGCCAGCTGAGCCGCAACTGGTGGTTGAGTCTAAATGCCGAGTTCCTTGCAAGATGGAAGGAGACTTGCATGCTTTCCCCCACCCCCAGGATTGACCAGCTGGAGCTGGGGGAAGCATGAAGACTCTTACTGCCTTCCCTCCGGCACATGGTGCGTAGAATCAACCCTAGCAGTTGACTCTGTGCCGTGCGCTCCCCCGTCCCTAGGCCCTGATTGGCCTGGGTGCGGCGGGAGCGGCAGGACCTCCATGGGCTGGATAAATCTGCTTGGCAGGCCAGATCCAGCCTCCGGAGGCCCTTTTGCCCGCCCCCGATGTAGAATATCTGGTTTCTCCTTCCACAGGAGAAAGCTGTTGCAGTACTTGAGAGAAAGTTCCAAACATTCTGTTCTCAGGACACATCAGAGCTTAATTCACCCACACACCACACTGTCAAGGGAATTTTCCCACAAAGACGAAATACAGATTGTGATCCAAAAATGTACTGATTTCTTTCTATTGATCCCACAATGGAATTTGCTTTAAAAGCACTGGAAGTCTGGCCTTGGTCCCTTGAGGTGGTTATTAATATTCTTCAGTTGCCAATTCTCTTGAAAATTACCTTTGGACCCTGCACACCAATGCCTTGAGACCCTTTTTGCCCAGGTATACCTTTAGGACCTTGGATACCCTTCAAAGAAAAGAAGGAAGAAGTTAATGAAAGCTGCACTTCTACTGGTTCAAGGTAATAAACTGAATGTATTATCCTCCAAAGGAAAAGAAACCCTACTGGCCAAATCAAGAGTTCCTTACTCAATTTTCCCTCAGTGTCACACACGTGGATTTAACTGAATTACCCCAAGTTCAGGTAGTGGCCTCTGAGAGGACAGGGCTACACACCTATCAACTTTTGAGTTTCTATTGTGAGCTGTGAGGCCTCTGTAAATTATCAGAATTTCAGGTGTACTGAGCATTCACCCTATAAAAAAGTTCCCTACTACATTATCCCATGTGGGGATCTCAGGAAGTCTGCATGGATTCATCTAAACAATTAATTTTTCTACTGACTTGATCTCAAGACAATTGAAATCAGAGTCTTTCCATTGATGTCAATGAGCAATGGATTAAGCCCTGTCTGGTATTTTTAAAGTATGTATCACACTGGTGTTTTGAGTCTAGACATTAAAAATTAGAGAACAGGCCAAGTATGAAATCTAGGTCTGGATCTAAATTTTGCTACATCTACAAAGCTTAGGGCTGGGCCTGACCCTTTTCCTATTGAAATCAGTGATACAACCATTCACTTCAACATAGCTAATAGGTTTTAGTTTAGGCTCCTGCCATCTAATAATGATCACAGAATACTAGAACCTTGAGAGGTCATCAAGTCCAGGCACCTACTCTCATGGCAGGAATAAGCACCGTCTAGACCATCCCTGATAGATCCCTATCTAACCTGCTCTTAAATATCTCCAATGGTGGAGATTCCACAACCTCTGTAGGCAATTTATTCCAGTATTTAACCACCCTGACAGTTAGGAAGTTTTTCCTAATGTCTATCCTAAACATCTCTTGCTGCAATTTAAGACCATTGCTTCTTGTCCTATCATCAGAGGCCAAGGAGAACAATTTTTATCTCTCCTCCTCGTGACACTCTTTTAGATACCTAAAAACTGCTATCATATCCCCTCTCAGTCTTCTCCTTTCCAGACTAAACAAGCCCAATTCTTTCAGTTTTCCTCCACAGTTCATGTTCTCTAGACCTTTGATTATTCTTGTTGCTCTTCTCTGGGCCTTCTTCAATTTCTCCACATCTTTCTTGAAATGTGGTGCCCGGAACTGGACACAATACTCCAATTGAGGTCTTATCAGTGCAGAGTAGAGAGGAAGAATGTCTTGCTCATAACACTCCTGTTAATGCATCCCAGAATCATATTTGCTTTGTTTGCAAGTGTCACACTGTTGACTCGTATTTAGCTTGTGATCCTCTATGACCCCTAGATTCCTTTCTTCACTACTACTTCCTAGATAGTCGCTTCCCATTGTGTGTGTGTGAAACTGATTGTGCCTTCCTAAGAGAAATACTTTGCATTTGTCCTATTAAACTTCATCCTCTTTACCTCCGATCATTTTTCCAGTTTGTCCAGATCATTTTCAATTATGACCCTATCCTCCAAAGCACTTGCAAATCTTCCCAGATTGGTATCATCTGCAGACTTAATAAGCGCACTCTCTATGCCATCATCTAAATCGTTGAACAGAACTGGCTACTGCAGAACCCCGCTTGTTATGCCCTTCCAACAAGATAGCAAACCATTAACAACTACTCTCTGAAAACAGTTATCCAGCCAGTTATGCACCCACCTTATAGTAGCCCCATCTAAGTTGTATTTTCCTAGTTTATTGATAAAAAGATCATGTGAGACCATATCAAATGCATTACTAAAGTCTAGGTATACCACATCCACTGCTTCTCCCTTATCCACAAGACTTGTTATCCTATCAAAGAAAGCTATCAGATTATGCAGTATATTATGCCAAAACTAGGTATTCAGCGGAATGTATTCTTAACTAACTGTAATATCAGATTTACCTGGCTTCCTTGACTGCCAATTCCAGGTGGTCCTATAGGCCCTTGTGGTCCTTCAGGGCCCCTTTCACCCTGCATGGAGAAACCTTGTGACTTGCAAAATAGTGATTTGTAACATCATCATGTTTAGGTCTGAAATGCTTTCCTCACATTCTACCATACAGATTAACTTGTAAAGCATCCAAAAGAAAACACCCATGAAGAGAGAGAGTATGGGACACAGAGTATTTGGACTAGCTTTGCCATTATTTTTACCAAACAGCTATTCTATTTACAGTTTATTCAGTGTTAATAACAACACCAAATCTTTGGAACATGAAAAGTCAGTAAGAAAATGTGTCTGAATTATTCATAGACAGCAACTTTAAGGAAAATAAAACAAACGAAAATATACCGGTAAATCTTACTCCAACTCAACATAACTTAGTTAACAAAATTCTGTTCTAATAAATAACAGGAGTAATTAGAAGTTTTCTGAAACTTGCATTCATCCAATCCACAAGAAAATTAGAATTACAAAGCAGAAGACTGAAGTATACATCCTAAAAATAATACCTCTGAAGTATGTCACAGAAAACTAAACTGTAATGGTGGTTTGAGAAGCAAAGCTAATAATTGGTTTCAACTATATTTTAAGTTACCTGAAACTGTTTTTGCAGTTGCATTTGTTACTACAGAAATCTGGCTGATATGTGCATGTTACAATACTTTCAATATCATGAATGGGAAATGTCTGTCTTTTGAGTGGACATGAAAAGAGAAGAAGGATGCAGGAAACCTGCCCTGGCAGAAAGGGCAGGGACAACTGCAGTTCTTATGCTCAGGGGAGACATTACCTTGAAGGTGCAGGGGAAGTGGGATATGCTAAAAGGTAATGCAGACTACTGCACACAATTAGTTATTATTTTGCTAATTTATAACATACACCAGATTCAAGGGCCAAATTTTCCAAATAAAGCACTTAAAGACTAGCTCTTTGATACACATTTGAATGCCTAAAAAGTGGCCTTATTTTCAAAAGGATGAGAACCCATTGCTTCATTTTCAGCACATATTTTAGAAAATCATGGCCTTTCCCATGGCGTAAGTCTCAGAAGGGTTGTCATGTTAGTCTGTAGCTGAAAAAACTTAAAAAACAAAGAATGGTCCTGCAGTACCTTCATGACTAACAAAAAATGTAGATGGTATCATGAGCTTTCGTGTGCACAACCCACTTCTTCAGATGAATGGAGCAAGGGGTCCAGAGGCACAAATAAATAACAGAAATAGAGGGTAAATTGAAAAAACAACAAACAGTCGGATAGCACTTCATAGACTAACAAAGCATGTAGATGACATCATGAGTTTTCGAGGGCATAGCCCACTTCTTCAGATGACTGGAGTGTTGGATGTCTAGAACCAAAATAAATAGGAGAGACTGGAGGTGGGTAGAAGAAGGAAAAATTGTGAATGGCAGGAGGGGAGGTGTAACGAGAACAGGCAGTGGGTAAAAAATATATATCAAGGAAAGCTGAGCTGGAAAGCAATAGGAAAACCAAATAGTCTATAACAGTGGTCCCCAACCTTTTGGGGCTGCTGGGTGCCTGGGGGCGGGGCCTCTCACATGCCATGTGCCCGGGGACGGAGCCGCTCACATGCCACGCGCCCAGGGGCGGGGCCAGCCCAGATCATTCAGTGGGCGCACATAAATGCCCCAGTGGGTGCCATGGCACCCGCTGGCACCACGTTGGGGACCACTGGTCTATAAGCACCTAAAGACAAGATAGTCAAAGGGGGAAGATAAGAACCATTAATTAGCAAACAACAAAAAGTCAGAAAACACTGATGAAAGATCTAGATGGTATCATGAGATATTTCAAAGACAAAGAACCATTGTCGCCTTCATTGTCTGATAGGTAGGTAATGACCTAATCATCCAGTATCTTTAATCCAGAGGTGTGAAAATTAGAGGGGATGGAGAGGGAAAAAAAGAAAAAAATCTTGTCTATTAGCATGTCCATGCTAAATGAGGCTAATAGAATGGGCTATAAGTGCCCAGTACTCAGCTTTTGATATCATTAGGGTGTTGAATGTAGCAGCCCATCCTGTCTCCTTTTCCGCCCTATCTCTTCTCTTTTTCTGCTATTTATTTGTGCCTCTGAACCCCTTGCTCCATTCATCTGAAAAAGTGAGTTGTACCCATTAAAGCTCATGATACTATCTACATTTTTGTTAGTCATGAAGGTGCCACAGGACCATTCTTTGTTTTTTAAGTTTTTCTCGTTACATGGTCCATTTTCATTGTTCCATTATGACAACAGGGCAGTAAAGAATCTTAACCAGTTTCCTGGAGATTCCCACGTGAGGCAAGGCTGGCAATGCAGACTTGGCATTCTAATTCCATGCACAGAGGTTGCGGCCATGGTCAAAGCAAGGGGCTCTGCTCCAGTGATGCCTGGCTGACAGAAATGCCCTTGAATGCTATCATGACAAGTGCCAACAGAAGCTGGCCAGTCCAAGAATTTGGGAACTTAAATGTGGGGTAAAGTCACCGTTGTCCACTTCTTCCCCCTCACTCCCAACTGCACAGAGCACAGTTTGATTGCAGCTGAGAGCTGAGCCCCATATATCATCAATCAATAGACTTACCAGGGGGGCCGGTTATAAGTATTAGAATAGCATAGAACAGTTCAGCCCACATGCAACTATACGATATTTACATTCTGCTTCTAGATCACATAAAGAATTAAACACTCATTACTTGAACTATAAGTCAGATATGTTTAAAAAAAACACTTTTTGCCACACCTTATCACCTTTGATTGACTCTCCTGCTATTCCAGTCGGACCTGCTGGGCCCTCTGAGCCTTTTTCACCCTGGAAATACATAGTTTTGATACAAGATAGCTGGCTTTAGGACTTCATACATTTACATTTCTAGAGCAAATCAACAGAAAATCAGAGTAGATGATGTCTGCTCAGAAATAGTTTTTTCAAACAAGACAATCTATCAAAAGACTCCTTTGTCACAAAGAGAAGTAACTTAGGGTATGTCTACACTACCACCCTAGTTCGAACTAGGGTGGTTAATGTAGGCAATCGAAGTTGCAAATGAAGCCTGGGATTTAAATATCCTGGGCTTCATTTGCATCTTGCCGGGCGCTGCCATTTTTAAATCCGCGGTAGTTCGGACTCCGTGCCCGTGGCTACACACGGCACTGAGTAGGTAGTTCGAATTTGGATTTCTAATTAGGCTTTCGTGGAACGAGGAGTAACGGTAGTTCGAATTAGAAAGCCTAATTCGAACTACCGTTACTCCTCGTTCCACGAAAGCCTAATTAGAAATCCAAATTCGAACTACCTACTCCGTGCCGCGTGTAGCCCCGGACACGGAGTCCGAACTACCGCGGATTTAAAAATGGCAGCGCCCGGCAAGATGCAAATGCAGCCCGGGATATTTAAATCCCGGGCTTCATTTGCAACTTCGATTGACTACATTAACCACCCTAGTTCGAACTAGGGTGGTAGTGTAGACATACCCTAAGAGACCGTTCATAAACCCCATTGTTTGCATTTATTCTATTAGAATATAGGTTCCCAAACTGAGGGGCATGAAGAAATTCTAGGGGGTGGGACCCAGCCTTCCCCCCCCCATCAAGTTTTGCTGCCCTGTTCAGTTCCTTTTTTCCTTTTCCCTTTTCCCTTTTTTTTTTTTTTTTTTTTTTTAAGAAGTTTTGCTGCTATTTGGGGGGGGGGAAGGCGTGAGGGTTTTTCAAAAATCAAAAAGGGGGGCGTGATGCCAAAAAGCTTGGGAACCACTGTGTTAGAATAACTATAGCCTAAAAGAGCTTAAAAAGAATTCTCAGGTTTAGCTAGAGTAATAAGAAGGAAATGCAATACCAGAAAGAAGACTGGTACACTTTTGGGCTATGTCTAGACTATACTCTATTTTTGAAAGAGGATATGCAAATTCCCACGGAATTTGCATAACTTCTTCCAATTCACTTTCGAAAGTGGATCTTTCGAAAGTGAAAGTAGTCTGGACCTGGGTTTTGGGGGGGAAAAACCCTTTTTTGAAAAAAAAACCACTCTTCCTTAAAAAATGAGGTTTACGGGGTTTTTTTCGAAAAATGATTTTTTTTCCTGAAAAAAAAACCATGTCCAGACTACTTTTACTTTCGAAAGCTCTGCTTTCAAAACTGAGATTGGAAGATCCTCTTATGAAAATCGAGTGTAGTTTAGACGTACCCTGCGTGTTTCAATGGTAGTCATTTCTTCTTGTACAAAACAGCAGACAGAGTATTTATGTGGGACTAGGAAGTGAAATTTCAGTTCAAATTTCATTGCTAATCTTTCTGGGTTTTGTGTCTGTTTCAAGAAACTTTATTAATCAGCACATCTGTGTATTTTATTTTAAGATGGTGATGCCAGGCTGTAATGAGGTATATGCCCGTAAAGACTCATCCTCACATTCTGGAGTGCTATTCAGACCAGTGAGAGGTTGGTCACTGCTTATCCTGTTAATTCTGAGTGCCTTCAAATGTTCTGCTGCTGTGAGGAAAGGTGCCATGGAGTTTGATGGAGAAGGTTCCATGCTGGTTTCTTCTCCACTGGTGCTATCTACAATTTAAATGGATCTGTCCTTGAAACTTCTGATTTGTCATTGAATGGCCAATTGTTTATCATTGCCAAGTGTCTGTGACTGTGCCTGGATGAAGGCACCAGCCTTTCTTTTGTCTGGGTAAAAATGCTTGCCCACAGCCCAGATTTGTCTGGTTCAAATACATTTTAACCACATCATAGATATAAACTAGGACAGTAATTTATTACTGTATTTTGGAGAGGGTGACATTTCTTTTAGTGGGACTCTTAAACTTTTTAAGAGAATGTGAAATATTCCAGAAGTACCTAAAATGGCTTGGAGAATATATTCCATTGACTGACTTTCAGCTTTGGAGCTACTGTGTTCCCAAGTCATCTCAGCACTTTTGAAAACCTCATTCACGGTATTTAAGAATTTTAGTGTAACTTTACCTTCTGGCCTGGAAAGCCTTCTCCTGGGGGCCCTCTTTCACCTTGCACACCCTCAGGACCACGAGGCCCCTGATGTTAAAAAAGAAAGAATAACCTCAGATGGCATGTGCAATTAAAGGTTTCCTTACTGCTGCTATTTCAAATTCACCACTACCATCCCACCTCACTTGTCATGGAGCTGAGAACAGCCAGGGCTACAAGAAATTTGGCAACAGCCTACTTCAAGCAAGCAATTAGAACACAAGGAGCAACTGCTTTAAAAGAGTTACATAACAATGGGCCAATACTAAAATTATGTGAACAATATAAAAAGATATTTTATTGGATCAATTTCTGTGTGCTAGTACAGGATATTGTAATTGCCTTCATTATTTGTATAGTGGTAATCTCTAGAGACTTTGGCAAGGTTTCAACCCCCAATGGGCTAGACATTCTACAAAAATAATAAATGACTGTCTTGGATCCTAAAGAGCTTATAATCATAAATGTACTCCTGACTGCTTATTACCATCAACTCATAGAAGATTTAATTATGGGCACTATACATAGAATAAATTAGTTTCTATTTAACTCATAAACACACATTCTACATTAATAACATTTGTTTTTAATCCCCTTTGCACAATTTGATCCCTCACCTGGTTTGATAAAGGAATTATAATGCATAAAACAATAATATAAAATGAGTTACAAGTAACAAGGGAGGAAGGTTTGAAAGAAGAGGCTCTTTAAATACGTTAGGAGAAAGTGAAAGATGAAATAGAACGAGTCCTCTACTTAGTGAGCAAGAAGAGCTAATAACTAATGGCCGAGAAGGCTAAGATGTTTACTTTTTTGTTTTACTTCATTCTTCACTAAAAAGTTTAATTGGAACCAGATATTCAATAAAGGTTAATAATATC